TTTCACAACATTAATCTATGGAAATCAATACTTAAATCAATGAGCACAAAAACATATGACATAAACATGACTGTATTATGGATTTTACGGCATTTCTGGGGGTCACAGACTCTGCTGCTGTGAGGATTACCAACCGTCTCATTGTTGTTTTGATGGGTTATATGCTAATATGATTTCCCATTAAAAGGAAGTCGCCGGTTCTATTGATGATAGGACCTTTCTGAAATCTCGGACCATGAAATAGGAAGGCAATTCACTTATAGCTCAGTAGCGGAATCAGTATTTTTTCCACATCACTAATGCAACATTTTCTTCGAGTTTCACGTGTTTGCTGTTTGTGGGCGTGTACTCCGTTGCCTAGGGCCACTTCTGATTGGTGAGCATGACTGTCACATAAGGAGCACAACGCTTGTGATTGGTGAGAACGACTGTCACATAGGGAGCACGGTATGAGTTTGGAAAACTATTCTTACAACAGTTTTAAACTCTGGGTCTGACGTGCTGTATAATGTATGTCCTAAGGCCTCTTCCACAAGGACGTTGGAAATGAACGCCCTCTGAACGCCATACGTGTTTTTCCTGCGTTTTGTAGCTGCGTTCGATTATGGAAGGCCAACGGGGCCAAAACGTCTTAAAACTTTATGCCTAAAGACGTCAAATATTAATGGCCAGAGACGTCAAATTTGCAAGCCTTTAGATGCAAAAAATCAACATGTCGATTTTTCACACCTTCAGACGTCAAAAACAGGTGGCATTTTGCAACGTGTGCTGACATCGACAAAGCGACCCTTTCAAAATAAAAGCACCACCAACTCCTGTCCACAAACGTCCCTTGGTTGAGTATTTCCTTTTTTAATTATCCATTCATTATCCATTCATACATGCAAACTGAACATTAAAAACATGGATATACTGCCTTTTTTGCATACAAACTATCTGCTGTCACACACCTGCCTCAAGTACTTTTGTCCATTAAACAAACAATTGCACATACTTGTAACTTCCATCCAGTGACTACATTCAACATATTTATTCAGCTATCCCAGCACTGCTGGTATTTAATGGTGTCTACAGTGCCTGACAAAAGTCTTGTCACTTAACCAAGTTGTAGGAGCAACAAATAATAACTTGACCTGTAGTTAATCAGTTGGAATCAGAAATGGCTTATAAGAAAAGGCAAAGCCCTCTAGATTATGCTTATTATACCAAAATAAAGTTTTGCATCAT